GTCAAGCCACTTGGCCAATATCAGATTTGCCAGTGTACAGAGGTGGGAGGCGAGCCCAGGCCCGTGGAACTATAAATCCAATGCAAAAATCCATCCTCCTGCACCGCATGGAACAAAAGCGGGTCCAGTTGTTTTCCTGGGTTTCCTGCACACACAGCTCTAAATTCCACAGCAGCCTTGGCTGACCAATCTTAAAACAACAAATTTGCTCTCTTAATGATTCTGGAGGTCAGATGTTAGAACATGTCAGCAAGGTGGTTTCCTTCTAGAGGCTCCAGGTGAGACTCTGTTTCTTTTCCTTTTGCAGCTTCTAGAGGCTGCCTGCATGCCTTGGCTTATGGCCCCTCCAGTCATCTTTAAAACCAGCAGCTTTTAAAGTTGCTGGGTGCAGTGGCTCATGCTTGTAATCCCAGCACTTTGGGAAGCCGAGGCAGGAGGAGGATCTCTTTAGTCCAGGAGTTTGAGACCTGCCTGGGCCACGAAGTGAGACCACATCTCTATAGAAAATGGACAAAAATTAGCCAGGCATGGCAGTGCATGCCTGTAGTCCCAGCTATCTGGGAGGCTGAGGTGGGAGGATCGAGTGAGCCTGGGAAAGTGGAGGCTGCAGTGAGCTGAGATCATGCCACTGCACTGCGTCAGCTGGGTGACAGCATGAGATCTTGTCTCAAAAAAAAACAACAAAAAACCCAAACCCGCTTCTTCTTGCTTCTGTTGTCACATCTCCTGCCTCTGACTCTGATCCTCCTGCCTCCCTTTTGTAGGACCTTTGTGATTACATTGGGACCACCTTATATGCAGGACAAGCGCCCCTTGCCAAAATCATTAATTCACATCTGCAACGTCTCTTTTACAACATAGTCACAGTTTCCAGGGATTCAAAGGTGGATGTTTCTGGGGTAGCCCACTGATAACCAGTGTTATAAGTTTCCATAACTCCTTCCAGAGATATTTTACATATAAATAAATGAATGCAAGTCCATAGCCTTCTCCACTCACTTTTTATACAAATGGCATCATTCCATATCGGTGCTCAGAGCTCTCTCTTCCTCTTTTTCTTTCCTTTTAAGGCTACACAGAATCTATTATATGGAAATACTCTAATTTATTTCACCTTTTTCCTGTTAGAGGACTAACAGGAAAACTCTTTCTAGTGCTTTGCTTTATAATCCTTTGTGTCATAATGCTGCAATGAATAGCCTTGTTTGTAGGATGATATTCAATTTTAAATCCCTTTTTTCAGGCCGGGCAGGGTGGTTCATGCCTGAAATCCTGGCCCTTTGGCAGGCCTAGACAGAAGGATCACTTGAGCCCAGGTGTTCAAAACTAGCCCAGGCAACACATAGAGACCTCATCTTTACAAAAACATTTAAACATTAGTGGGGCCTGTACCTATTTGGTCCCAGCTATTCCAGAGGCTGAGGTGGGAGGATTACTTGAGCCCAGGAGGTGGAGGCTGCAGTGAGCCATGATCACACCACTGCATTCCAGCCTGGGCAAGTAGAGTGAGAACCCGTCTCAAAATAAAATCATAAATAAATAAATAAATAAAAATAAAATCTTGTTTTTCAGAATTTAGGGGCACCATTTAAGACATTTTGAAACCTCACAGGACTTTTTGGGGGAACTTGTTGCCTTAGAGATGAACCTGTCCTGTCCCGCCCCCATGATATGTACGTGCTCTTTCTCCCTCCTGGATTCCTTAACTAAGCCTTGTGTGCACTTGCGAGCCCAGGTCCACCACGCTTTGCCTTCAATTCTAGACACCGTGGTGTGAATATGCTGAAGTGGGGGCCACATGCTTCCCAGGAGGGTGTGTATTTGAAGCATCATCACTCATGATAGTATGACAGGCTCTGGAGAGAATCGCAGGCTTCCATAAACAGGCAAGGGGAAAAATATTCCCCAGACATGTTTCAGGGACCACAGGCTTCCCGATCCTATGCCGTGCTAGTCCATAACTGGATCAGCCTGACTCTCCTTCTGCCACACCGCTGGTGTAGACAGGGACAAGAAAGAGAACTCAGAGACACAGTGAAGCTGTGATTTGCTTGAGGTCACTAAAGTACTTACTGGTAGGAAGTTCAGAGCTGACCCGAGGGGCAACAAAAGATGCCCCCCTCAAATCCGTGGAGAGCAGAGTCTGTCTGAATCAGATCCCAGATTTCCGGGGGCTTTCATGGTGCCAGGCGTGTACACTGAATGAGGATGGGTTTCCCAGGGTTCTGTGTAGTCACACAACTCAACAATACAGACCAGAAGGCAGTGGCCAGTAGGCTGAACTTGGCTGGTGGGTATTTTCTGTTTGGTCTGCACTGTGTTTCTTTTAACTTGTTATTATGGGAAATTCATACATGCTCCTCTCAGGGCCAGGCTTCTCCTTATCACAAGCTTAGACTGTCTGAGTAACTAATTGGATTTGTGTCTGCTCCACACGGGACCCTAAGACCCGTGGGCTGAGACTCCATCTGTCCTGGTCACAGCCGCACCCCAGCCTCTCACATGGTCCGTCACACCCAGGCCAGCCCCTGACTGACAGTCCCACACCTTCTTCCTGCAGCCAATCCCCTTTTCTGGGACAATCGAAGGGGGTCTCCAGGACGGACTTCAGATCACTGTCAGTGGGACCATCCTCAACTCCAGTGGCACCAGGTGTGTATGTGGATGGACATGTTTCTCTCCAGCCTCATCCTTAGTAAACCACTGCGCCTGTGAGCTTGGGTGAGTTCAAACGACAACATCCAAGCTCACGTGCCTGGCTCAGGGAGGCCCAGTGCATCCCTAACCCACGCTGCAGGGCACCACCCGGCAGGCACCACCTGCATCCAGGGCTGCCATTCACCTGGGACCCTGGGAGCTGACAGTCTAAGGAGGAAGTGGGAGGGTCAGAGGCGGATGATTATGTTCTGGGTTGAACCTGGTACACTGTGACAAAGAGTTGCAAAAACAAAACTTCCTTCATTTCCCATAACTGCTCTCATCCGCTCTGAAGCTCTCCTGCTGCTGACATGAAAACATTCAAAATTTCCATTAAAAGTAATTTGGTCTCATTCAGTTTCAAGGCCTTTTCTGGAAAATGCTAAATCAATTCAAAATACCAACATTGTATCAGGGCTGTTTCCCACCCCTCCTCCACCCAAGGTGGGCTGTCTGGGAGCAGAGAGGAGCTCACACATCTTCTCAGGGGCTGGGAGGGCCCCGACCCTCACACAGGCCTGGCTGACCCCAGCCGACGCACCCCGACCTGGTGGCACAGAGGTGTGCAGTCTCTGCTGGTTTGGTTGTGACCCTGGGTGGCTGCCTGCAGGGCCCACCATAGAGCCTCTAGACTCACTGCTCTCTCAAAGAAAAAAAAAATTATGCTCTAAAGGCAAAATGTAAAAATGGACAAAAATACATTAGTTCCAAATCAGAGGAACAAAAAGGATGCCAGCCGAGCGGTCTCTGGGACGCAGGTTGTGCTCGAGATCCCAGACAAATGCCAGGCAGAGGCGCCGAGGACCTCCTGTGCCCATCACTGGCAATAAGCCATGCTACAGAAGACTGTTTGCTTTCCTGGGCCTAGGTTTTCTGTGGACTTTCAGACCAGCTTCAGTGGAAATGATATTGCCTTCCACTTCAACCCTCGGTTTGAAGAGGGAGGGTACGTGGTGTGCAACACGAAGCTGAACGGAAGGTGGGGGCCCGAGGAGAGGAAGAAGGAGCTGCCCTTCCAGAAGGGGGTGCCCTTTCACCTCTGCTTCCTGGTGCAGAGCTCGGATTTCAAGGTGAGCAGGGATCTCCTCCCCACCTCTCACCCCGGACCCTGGCCCTATCTGGTGAATGGCCTCTACGTAATTCCCTTAACTGACATTCAGAATACAGATAACACCACCATTTCCTAGTAAGGGTGTTTCCCAAGGCTGCGTAGTCTCCTTACCCACCTTCACCTGAATCTACAGGTGTGCCTGCTGCTGCTTTGACTCTGAAAATAAGAACTAGAGGAGGCATCACGTGGCTGTTTGCTGTTGTGTGTCTTTGAGTTCCAAGTTCATTCCACTCCTCTGCTATCGCCATTCCTCCTCTCCAGGTCCCTGATAGTATTTATTTTTCAGCGACATTGTTCCAGCCTTTATCCAGGGTCTATTAAGGGTATAATTATGTAAGCACATTACAGACTACCTTTGCAGGCAGAGTAGGTCTCTGGGCTCTGCAGGCAGGTAAGTCAGTCCGAGTACGCTTATCTGAGATAAGGATGTTCCCATCCACTCAGTATGCAACCCGAGGTGCCTCTCCTCTGCTCCCCGTGAGCATTTTATGCCTATTTACATAGTACCCCTGCAGCCATAAAAAGGAACGAGATCATGTCCTTTGCAGGAACATGGATGGAACTGGAAGCTATTATCCTCAACAAACTAACGCAGGAGCAGAAAACCAAACACCGCATTTTCTCACTTATAAGTAGGAGCTGAACGATGAGAACACATGGACCCAAGGAGGGAAGCAATGCACACTGAGGTCTGGTGGGGGAGGGAGAGCATCAGGAAGAGTAGCTAATGGATGCTGGGCTTGATACCAAGGTGATGGGTTCATCTGTGCAGCAAACCACCATGGCACACATTTACCTAGTTAACAAACCTGCACATCCTGTACATGGACCCTGGAACTTAAAAGTTGAAGAGGCTGGGTGCCGCAGCTCACACCTGTAATCCCAGCGCTTTGGGAGGCCGAGGTGGGCAGATCGCTTGAACCACTGCACTCCAGTCTGGGTGACAAAATGGCACTCCATCTAAAAAAAAATAAGTTGAAGGAAAAATAAATAAATAAATAAAGCCCCAGGTGAGCTAAGACTAGAAAGACAAGCCTCCTGCAATAAACGGCCATGAGAACTAAGAGCCCAACAACTGGAGCAAGTGGAGACTGGGGTTGACGCGCTTCGGATCACACGCACGTTCCTGTAACCAGCCCCACACTGCAGGCCTGACTCAGGTCTTCATTCTCTAGAAGGAGGGGTCCAGGAGCTTAAAGTGGTCCCTGTCCCGGCCTGGGCTGCTTCCCCCAGGACACGTGCTCTCCTGTGGCAGGTGATGGTGAACGGGAGCCTCTTCGTGCAGTACTTCCATCGCGTGCCCTTCCACCGTGTGGACACCCTCTGCGTCAATGGCTCTGTGCAGCTGTTCTCCGTCAGCTTCCAGGTCAGATTGTCCACCTGGCTCCAGTCCCAGGGGTTGGGGTACAGGGCCCACTATAACTATGCCCAGGCCCTGCTGGGGGACCCAAGGCCACCATCCAATCTCCTACCCAGGTGACTCTGGGGACAACCTCTGGTGCCCTGTCCCAGTGTCTGCCTGCCCCTTCTCTGTCACTCTGCCCTCCTTCTGTGTCACTGTCTCTGTCTGGAACACCTGCCTTTGTCTCCCAGACTCCTCGGCTGCCCCCTTCTCCGCACCCCTCGATTTCCACCCCGGTTAGGAGGCCATATTGTTCCAGAAAGAGCCCAGGCTCAGGAACCAAACTGAATCCAGTTCAGATTCCCAGCTCTGCAGTTCATCATCTGAGGGATTTTAGACAAGCGACTTCCCCTCCCCCAGCCTCAGTTTCCTCATCCGTAGATGAGATGCCTGCCCCCCATGGGGTCACTGCCTGCCCCCCATAGGTGGTTCAATGAGGAGACGGGTGTCAGAGGTCACACAATGGCCCGCATGGGCCCACACTAGGGTCTCTTTGACCTCTGTGTTTTAAAAACTTGGAATGTGTTGCCAACAAGTTCAGGAGAGCCAGGTATGGTGGAGGTCTGTAATCCCAGCTATGCAGGAGGCTGAGGTGGGAGAATCGCTTGAGCCCAGGAATTCGAGTTTTGCCTGGGCAACATAGCAAGACCCCATCTCTAAAATATTTTTGTTTGAACAGTAAAATAAATAAAACTAAAGAAGGTCAGGAGATACTAATACCAGGTGAAAATGGGAAGATTAGGGGATGCTGAGCCCACATGCCCACAGGCAGCTGGATGGGAGCTGCTGTTACCCTTTTGGCATTCAAGGGAGCTCCCTGAGATGAGAGAAGCACATAGTAGGCCCTCAGCACATCTGGGCTCCTTGCTCTTTGAGCCTCTTCCCTCCTTCCCTCTCTCCCCTGTGGGTGGAAGTGGGAAAAGAGACAGAGGGAGACGGCCCCCTGCGCTGCTCACGGGAACCTGGCCCTTGTCCCTCCCACCTCTGTGTGGCCCTCACCCGCTTGCCGCATCCCCCTCCCTGCCTGGTCCCTCCCTCTTGACCCTGCCTCTGCCTCTCAGCTTCTCCTTGGCTCCATTAATGCTCCTCCTCACCGCCCGGTGCCTTTTGTTTTAACAGAACACCCGCACAGTCCCTGTTCAGCCTGCCTTCTCCATGGTGCAATTCTCCCAGCCTGTCAGTTTCCCACCCAGGCTCAAGGGGCGGAGACCAAAAGTGAGTTCAACACAGAGGCCCTGGGTGGCTGAGCAGACAGCAGGAAGGACCGGGGGTCTGAGAGGTTGGCTCCAGCCAGCAGGCCACCCAGGGACTACAGGCCCCATCTTGCCCACCCAAGAGTTCCCTGTCTCTGTCCACCAGGCGACCAGAGCTGGGGACCTAGGAGTCACCCTGGATTCTTCACTCCCCCTTCTTTATGTGTCTCCAAGGCACCAATGAGTCTCCCTCCCGAAGCCACCAATGTGGCCCAGGCCTCTGGGATTCCTCACCATGACAACAGTGGTCTAGTTCCCCAACCCCCACACCCAACCACTGTCACAGTGACCTTCTTATAAGCAAATCTGGTCACATCGTCTCCCTGCTTAAAAATCTTAAAAGCCCCAAGCCCTTCTAAATAAAGCCCAAATTCTCCAGCAGAGTATACAGATTCCTCCCCAGTCTGTCCCCAATCTACCTCCCTGCCTCACCCCAAACTTACAAAGCTCACACAGCCTCTGAGCCTCACTCGAGGCCCTCCTGGGGCCACCATGCTTTTGCACATGCGGTCCCTAGTCCCAGAAGCACCCTCCCCCAGCCTGCCCCCAGCACATGCCTAATTGCCCTTCCCTGCTCTGCCTAAGTGTCGCTCCTGGGAGTCCTCCCTTCCCAGACTGTTGTTGGACCCTCCCCCGTGTCCCCATGGACTCCGTACATATCTGTGCCATGCCAGTTCACAGCACCCCATTGTAACTGTGTGTGCGTGTCTGTCCCTGTCACTCCACCCCCATCTCCCTGTGCCCATGAGGCCCCAGAGGGCTGGGAGTGTGGCTTGTTCATTTGCACAGTGCCTGGCACTTAGTAGGGTCTCAATGAAAGAATGAATGTGGAATGCGGTTCACACAGCCAGAGAGAACAGGATCCCAGCCAGGCAAGAACAGTCTGCTGGGTGAGGCAGGACCCAGGACAGGAGGCGGGTAGCCCTTCCTCTGCCACTCAAGCAGTGGGGACTGGGAGGAGGGGCGCTTTGTCTCCACAGCCTTTTTATGGCCCATCACGGTACAGGCAGTGCACCTGCATCCTGCCATGCTGACTTCAGGACGGGTGGGGCCCCAAGGAACATTTGCAGGGCAGCCCAACTTTGGCCCTGGCCCTGGCCCTGGGGAGGATGGAAGGTGTGGTGGATACAGACAGACAGAACTGGCTGCCATTTTGGATTTGATCCCTTCCAGTTGGGAGAGCTTGGGCAAATGGCTTAATCTTTCTGAGTCTCATTGACTCACCAGTGACACAGGAGCTGGGGCTGCTTCCCTCGTTGGAAAGCACCGAAGCCCAGGACTCGGCCCACAACAGGCCTTTGACAAATACCACTTCTCCCCTTAAGGGTGAAATATGACACTGGATGTAATACTCTTGGCTCTGGGAGCCACAGAAAGCAATGAGGTCTCTATCAAATCCATCCTCCTCTCTCTCAAGGAAACAATGGGGACCCTATCCCCGAACCCCTGTGCACCTGGGGTAAACATCTGGTGCCATGGGCTCAGGAAGGCTTGCTTGGGAGCGAGAGGGGGTTGAATGTGTCTGGGGAGGCGTTTCTGAGCACAGGAGCCTCCCTGGAGTTCTGCCAGTGTCTCCCCCCATTCCATGGTGCCAGCGATAACCACCATTCTGACCTCCTCTCCCCTGCAGCCTCCCAGCGTGCGGCCTGCCAACCCAGCTCCCATTGTAAGTCTCTTGCTTTCTTTTTGGATCCTCTTCATTTTGGCTTTTCTTGGGGGCTTATGGAGGAGGCAGGACCAGGCATTGGGCCTCTCCCATCAGGAGGAGTGGGGAGGGCAGAGGCCAGGCCCTTGACCGTCTGCCCGGCTTGGCGAGGTTGGGGGGTGGATGTGGTTGGCTGGGTCTGATGAAAGAACCTGAGTTGCCACTCCGTGGGCAGCCACGGAAGACGGTGGTCCCACATTCACTTCTCCCACCTACAAAGGGAGGCTAGACTGAGAGATGTTTTCCCGAGAGGAAAGATGGATCAGAGCCCCCAGCATCCCCATCTGTCTTCTCCAGGGTTCTAACGTTTGCCCTTCCCTCATCCCCTTGAGAGAAGAAACACTTGGACCCACCCTTTGTGGGGTCTGTGGGGCCACTGGGCTGGTTACCACCCCAGGAGGTGCCTGCTGTGTGGCGCCCTCTGGTGGGAGCTGGTGGTCTTCACATGGGAGAGCCTGGGTGAAACCTGGTTTCTTTATTCCAGACCCAAACAGTCATCCACACGGTGCAGAGCGTCCCTGGACAGATGTTCCCTGTAAGTCTACAAGTTCTGGTCAGTTCATAGCTGCCCAGTGTCCTCCTTCACCAAGAGCTAAATTCCCCAGAGCCCTAGAGTCGGGAAGAAAAGGGTTAGCAAGGAGGATGGGGACATCTGGGGCTGAGTCCTTGGCTCTTGTGACATGTGGCTAAAGCTGTCCTTGGGACAGCAGAGGTTCTGGAACAAGCAGGATTTATCCAGTGGTGGACGAATAAGGGAAACCGGCCCTTCTGTCACCCAGTGGGGAATGCAGAGGCACCAGCACCCCAATGTGAGGTTCCTGGCCCTGAATCCTGGGTCCCTGGGATGTCACTACTGATCACAGGCTTAAGCTTTTTTCTTTCTTGTGCAAATCAGGCAGGGGCTTATCGTTAGTGGGGCTGCCTGTTGCAGGTGACCACGGTGGGGTCCGGGAACATGGCAGGAAGTTCCAGGACAGCTAACACGAAAAGGGAGGTAGATGGGAGGGTCCAAGGGCCAAAGCCTCACGGGGTCAGCCTCACAGTGGAGCCCCTCCAGAATGTGTGGGTGGCGTGGGGGAGCACTGTGCACACACGTGCTCTCCCATTGAATTATCTGGTCTCTTCAACAGAATCCTGCCATCTCACCTATGATGTACCCCCACCCAGCCTATGTAAGTGGTTTCTCAGGGAGGGCGGGGCTTCTGTTTGTGGTGGGCAGGCTGGGGGTGGAGGGCAGCTGCGGGAGGACCCGCTGGCCTTGCAAAATTACAAGCTATTCTTTGGTAAGCTGAAGTTCTTCAGAGCATCCCAGCGAATTAGGAGATGGTGGAGAGGAGCTTCCAACCTTCAACTGTCAAGTCAACGCGAGCACATTGCATGGCCCTCCCTTTCACCCCATGAGCCTTTGTGTGTTTCACCAAAGTTCCTTTTATGACACTGAACTAAGCCCATTAATTTAAGGAGCACTGGAAAGTTTTCCTTTGGCTTTTCCTGAACCAAGTAAAGATTTCCTGGGCTTCTCAGCTGACAGCCCAAATTCACGGACACTGGTACAATATTCCCCTTCCTTGTGACGGCTGCACTGGCTGCCACTGGCTGACCTGTCCCCCTCCTTCCAACAGCCGATGCCTTTCATCACCACCATTCCAGGAGGGTTGTACCCATCCAAGTCCATCGTCCTGTCCGGCACTGTCCTGCCCAGTGCTCAGCGGTAAGCCAAGGGCTCCAGTGGCCTCTGGGAAGAGAGAGTCCTTTCAGGTCATTCTGGCCATTCCCCTGGCTTCGGGCAGGCTGCGAGTGATGGGGAGGAAATGGGGCCTGGAACCCAGGGGATAAAGGTTCAGGTAGGCTGTCCCCCCAGGTTCCACATCAACCTGTGCTCTGGGAGCCACATCGCCTTCCACCTGAACCCCCGTTTTGATGAGAATGCCGTGGTCCGCAACACGCAGATCAACAACTCTTGGGGGCCTGAGGAGCGGAGTCTGCCCCAAAAAATGCCCTTCACCCGAGGCCAGAGCTTCTCGGTAAGCCACCATGGTCTGGAGCTTGGAGAGGCTCCTCTGGGTGCACAAGGGGAGGGGGTGAAGGAGGTCAGGTAGACCTTGAACAGGGTGGGAGCTGATGCCTCATGATGAGGGCCCAGAAGAAGAGAAGATGGTCAACAAATTATTATTTTTAACTGTCCCGCATGAAGGAAGTGTTGGGATCTGCTTTTTACAGATGAGGAAACAAACTCACAAGTGCAGGTTACTTGCTTGTGGTCACAGCCAGCACATGTCACATCAGAACCACGCAGGAGCTGTTATTCATTTCTTCACTTATTCATTCAACAGCTATTTTATTGTGGACCACTTTTTGCCTGAAGCCCCCCACATGCTGGGGGCGCAGTCATGACCAGACAGACAGGGTCCTGCCTGCAGGAAGTTTACAATTTAGGTAGGGAAGGAGCAAGGAAACTAAAGATTAACAGATTATTGCAGATAACGACAGTGCCACGCAGAAAGCATAACAGAGCAATGAGTCAGCGAGGCTGGGAGGGACAGCTAGGACCAGCGTGCAGAGGCGCAGGTGTGGCCTGTCCAGGAACAGCAGGCAGGCGTCTGCCGCCCTGACTACACATTCAAATCAACCAGAGGGCTTACAAAGGAAACATCAGTAAAATTTTTCTTTTCCTGAACCAAGTAAAGATATCATGGGCTTCTCAGTTGACAGCCCAAATTCATGGATACTGGTACAATATTCTCCTTCCGCATGGTGGCTGTGCTGGCCACCACTGGCTGACCTGTCCCCTCCTTCCGACAGCCAATGCCTTTTGTCACTACCATTGGGAGGGCTGTGCCCGTCCAAGTCCATCGTCCTGTCGGGCACTGAGGCAGTCGGCCTGAGCATTCGTATTTTTAAAACATGCTTAAGTGATTATACTCTGCAGTCAGAGTGGGTGATGACTGACATAGGGCTTTGCAGCCATGGAAAGGAGCTTGGATTTTAACACAGTGAAAAGCCACAGGAGTGTTCCAAGCCAGGGAGCAACACTCTTTGATTTGTAGGTAGCTGTGTGACCTTGGGCAAGTGACTTAACTACTCTGTGCTTCAGTTTCCTCATCTGCAAAACGGAGCTAATAATAGGAGTCTCCTAGAATTGTAAGAAAGGAGTGAGACAGTATCTGTAACGTGCTTAGGACAGTGCCTGGCACATGGTGCGTGCGATAGGGTGCTAGCTATTGCAGAGGGCAGGAGGTTTTAACATTTGTACCTGACTGCCTCACGGAGGAGGGCTTGGGGTGGAAAAGACAAGTTAGGAGGCCGATGCCGCAGGAGCCTAGGCACCGAGTCCTCCAGTGTGCTGGGTCCAAGGGATAGACAGCACAGCCAGCGCTGCCGTCCCTGATGGGGTGGGATCAGTGTTCTAGGCCAGGGAAAAGTAGGGGAAAGAGCCTGCACAGCCTGTTTAGTGAAGAGCCGGTCACTCGGTGGGGACAGAGTGGGCTTATTAACGTTTGGGGAGGGAGGGAGGGAGGGAGGGAGGCCGGAGGCGGCAGTGAGGGTGGAGGACTTCCCAAGGGTAGTGCAAACGGCATGATCTCCACGCAGGTGTGGATCTTGTGTGAAGGTCACTGTCTCAAAGTGGCCGTGGATGGCCAGCACCTGTTCGAATACTACCATCGCCTGCAGAACCTGCCCGCCATCAACAGGCTAGAAGTGGGGGGTGACGTCCAGCTGACTCATGTGCAGACGTAGGCAGCTCCCTGGCCCTAGGGCCAGGGGCTGGGGTGTGGGGGCTGGGGTCTGGGTCTTCTCATCATCCCCACTGCCCAGTCCCACCCTTTCCAACCCTGCCTGGGACCTGGGCTATAATGCAGGGGCCATGTCCTTGTCTGGTCCTGCTTCTGGCTACAGCCACCCGGAACAGAGAAGGCAGCCTTCCTCAGCTGGGGCAGCACCTGGGGCTCCAGCTGCCCGACTCACACCATCCCAGGAGGTGGGCACAGTGGGCGGGGGGGAGGGGGGAGTGAAGATGAAGCCCCATGTGCAGTCCCCTCCCATCCCCCACACAGCACCACCCCAGTCTCAGGCCTCTAGCTGTCCACTCCTGGTGAGAGGTGACCTCCTCAGCCCCTCCTCTCTGACCTTTAACCTCACTCTCAGCTTGCACCCTGCACCAACCCTTCACCCCTCCAGTAAGGCTAGCCTGATGGCATCCCACTGGCCCCCACCAACTGACCGGAATGTTCTCTTCAGGGGATTGGCTTCTTTCCCAGTTTCCTTAAATAAATGAAAATGCTTATTGGCACACTCATGTGGGTTGGCCATGACTTCTTTCATTCATTTGGAGACATTTCCGAGTCTGTGGAATTGGGCAGGGGAGCCTGCAGAGAGGAGGGGGAGGGGAGAGCCTAGGCTCCCTTTGGGCAGGGGGTCCTGACCTCCACCCCTCCTCTCAGAGGCTCCCTCACGAATCCCACGAGGGTGCTGGAGAAGCAGGCTGGGGCTCGAGCCTCTTGGGCAGGAGTCTCGGACACAGGGAGTTGGTAATGGGGAGCCCCAGGAAACAGCCCAGTGCCTCTGAGATGGGAGAGGGGCTGGGGCGGAGCCGTGAGGTCCACTGCAGGGCCAGAGCTGGCTCCTCAGACCTGGCGTCCCAGTGGAAGGAGGTGTCTTGGGCGTGGGGGGTCAGGAGAAGCCGACTTGAAGCTTCGTCCAGGTGTGTTCCACTGTGGGTCTCCCCGCAGCGGGGGGCATTAGGTGTTAGGGCTTGCATGTAAAGAGTGTCTCTGTGTCCCTGTGTGGGGTTCTGCCAGCCACTGAGCCTTGCCAGACAGCCCAGCTCCGCGTCCATGATGCCAACACCTTCTGCTGGGCCCAGCAAGAATCCAGCTCCTCAGGCCCCAGCGTCGTCCCCAGAGCAGGGCACCCACAGCCCTGGGAGCTTGCTGGAAACTAGGCATCCCACCCCTCGCTGACCTGCACAAGTCTGTTTTCACAAGACCCCCAGCGAGGTGAGTGCATTAAAGCTGAGACACCCTGTTGCGGAAGCGGACTCCTGGCCATGGTGCTAAGATGCACGGCTGTTGCACAGGGCATGGGGCACCCAGGAGCCAGAGGCCAAACCTGAGATGGGAGCCGTGTGTTGCCAGGTCCCCAGGGGCCCCCTCTGAGCTCCTTCCTTGGTTTTGACAGGAGAAGGAAATGGGGCTTAGCCTCTTAAGAGGTCTTCCCTGGCTGGCTCCAAACCCAGGAGGGACCCCAGTACCTCAGGTGAGGATGCTGTGGCCACACTCGCCTGGACACGCTGCCCTCCCCAGGGCCACACCCATACTGGCCAAACTCGAATGAGACAGATGGCCCCAGAGCAAAACGCTAAGACAGTGTCTTAGCCAGGCGTGGTGGCTCACACCTGTAATCCCAGCACTTTGGGAGGCTGAGGTGGGCGGGTCACAAGGTTAGGAGTTTGAGATCAGCCTAACATGAAGAAACTGTCTCTACTAAAAATACAAAAATTAGTCGGGTATAGTGGCACGCGCCTGTAGTCCCTGCCACTCAGGAGGCTGAGGCAGAAGAATCACTTGAACCCAGGAAGCAGAGGTTGCCTGCAGAGCCAAGATCGCGCCACTGCACTCCAGCCTGGGTGACAGCAAGCCTCCATCTCACAAGAAAAGGAAAAAATTTACTTCTCTTTTATGGTCTTTTTTTTTTTTTTTTCAGGAAAAAGCACAAAATTCTTACCATTTCTCAGATTTCCCACATCTNCTCCAGGCCTTCCCTGCAGTGCTGGCCTCATGCGAAAATCCCACCGTCACCGCACCCCGCATCAGATCCTGTGAGTAGGAGGCAGGCCCGCGACCCCCTCCCGGCCACAGGTCTTTGGACAAGCACGAAGCTCCAACTGCTGCCCTCCCACGTGGCAGCCACTTCAGAGGAGCCATGGCCTGCCTGGGGTGTCCCTCTGTGGGGGGGGGGGAGGTCTGTCCAGGCCACAGCCCCCCACTCTGAGGTGAGCTTTCCCTACAAAACATCCACACACACATACAGAGTGATTAAAATAAAATGCAATTCATATAAATATCTCCATCAAGGAATCATATAGGGAAGGCCCAAGTGGCCGCTGGGAACAGTCTGGGTGTTATTTATGCCTCTGTATTTAAAAAACTAACTGTACACAGGGCAGTTAAATACACAGTGGCACGACAGCACCTCCTGGTGGTCACTTGCAGTGATGCACTCAGCAGCGGGTTCCATCTTTACCCACTTGCCAGGCCTGGCATTGAAGATTTCATCTCCAAGAGACCAGGGAGGTCCCAGCTTGAGAGAGAAGGTTCCGACCAATCCAGGGTGCTACTTGGCAGGTCAAATAAAGGATTTGATGGGGAACGAGGTGAGGAAATAGGATGTGAGGCTTGGGCATATCGCTTTCTTCCATCTCCCCCAGGTCCTGCGGCCTCGGATAATGCAGAGCTGGCTCTGCGGTTACGTTCTGTGCTGGCAGCTTCGACCCCTCAGTACGCCGTCAGAACGCGGACATCTCCAGGCTGTTGGGCTGCACCACTGCCCTGTCCTCCTTCGCCTCATAGGAAAATACAGCACCAAAGATATCTTCATGATAACGCTTCTGACTCTTAAGTGGAAGCAGAGACCAACATGTCAAGTCCAGGCTGGGATGAGCCCCTGGGGTTTCCCAGCTTCCCTATCACGTGGACCTTCCCGAGCCATCTGTCTCCCCACTGTCATACTTAGATTGTGCTTGACTCTGGCTTAGTCTCGAACCCCCGCTCAGCACCTGCTCTGGTGCAGGCCCTATAACCATCTCCGAAGCTTTACTTAGCATTCCCATTTCCTGCCCAGCGCTCACTGTCCGCCCAAGATGCTCCAGGAAGTATGAACTCTGCAATAAATACGTTTGGGAAATGCTACATCCTTTCTTTTCTCCCAGCCTTGCAGGTCCCAAAGCACAGCCGCATGTTGAAGGCTCCGAGAAGTCTTGGAGTAAAGCTACATGTCTGCCTTGGCTGAACTAAGCATGTCCCAGACTATTTGACCTTGGGACATTTTGGATGCCAAAGATCTACCAATCCATTCAACACATTTGGGAAATACCTGTTATCTCCTCACTGTTCTTCAGACAAGCCAGGTGAACTCCCATCCCGGGTCTTTGTGCCTGCTGCCCCCTCCAGAACAGCCCAGAGTGTTTCCCTCAGTATCCACGGGGGTCCTCCTCACCACCTCAGGCCTATTCTCAAACTTCCTTCCAGTTCCACCTTCCCTGGCCACCCTGTTTTAAATGACACTCCCCAGCGTCCCAGGGGACGCTGTTTTTCTCCGAAGCACCACACCTCTTCTTTGTTTGGGTTTGTCAGCCCCCGTAGAATGTAAGGAGTTTTTGCCTGTTTTGTTTACTGTTCTATCCCTAGCACATAAAAGGTGCTCAATAAACGTTCAGTTGAACGTATAAATGTGTCTTAGGGAAAGTATGGAAGTGACTGTCACAGGCTTTGGAACTAGAGAGAGGCAGACTGAACTCTAGGCTCTCACATTCCCTGCTGTGGCCCCCGTAGGCCCCCTTCCCTCTGTCAAATGGGGTTCCTCCCTCAAAGTCCTCAGCAGGACTGAATGAAATGCCACATGAAAATCCTTGGCAAGCACTAGGCCCAGTGTAAATCCTTGTAAATATCAGTATTATCTTCATCAATAAAACCCCATCCCTTCCTGCTGGGTGGATGAGAGTGAGTAGATGCCAGCCTGGGTGGAAATAGGAAGCATGAGGCTCACTCGAGGCTGACGGTGGGGTGGCCTCGCTCTCCCCAGCGCTCACAGCCTTGCTTTGGCTACACAGATACTTTCTGAAAGGGGAGTTTGAGGAGAGGCCAAGGAGACTCTCCTGCCCCCATTCCACAGATGGAGAAATGGAACACATTCACCCCACTTCTCAAAGCTGGCTGGCAACCAGACCAGGATGTGCAGCTGGGCTTCTGATAGCCCACCCAGCTCAGATCTCAGCCACTGCTGGGATTCTCTTGGGGTCCAGAGCTTTTCTGGGCCTGACTCCCCTGGGTCCACCTGCCACTCCTGGTCCTGGCTCTGATGGCCTGTGCCCTTGGCCAGTACCCTAAGCCCACATGCCCACTACAATACCTTGAGCTTAAAGAAATAGTCCTCAACCTGTTCCTCATTCAAGTTCAGCTTGGCAGCCACCAGCTGCTTCAGGGTGTGAGCCACGTCCCGGGCCATGCGCACATCCCCACAAACATAGAAGTGGCCCGGCTCCTCATGGAGCACACGGAGCACCTCGCTGGCCAGCTGCTGCCGCAGGATGTCCTGAACATAGACCTGAAACCAGAGGAAACGGTGGGTCTAGTCCCTGGCCACTGGGGGCCAGGCTTGCAGGCAGCCCTGCTGGCCTCAGGGAGGCAGCGAGAGGGCACTAAGGGCTGTGGGGTGAGTCCCCTCCCAGCCAGGACCTTGCACGAGGCCAGGCTCAGGATGAGGAGGCACATGGGTGCCCTGGGGGCTGGGCTGGGATTAGAGAGATGAATGTCAGGCACAGTCCTGCCCTCAAGGGGCTGACAGTCCAATGGGGCTCCCAGAGGGTCTCTGAATTTGCCATGCTTCAAAGAGGCATCAATGATGCCAGTCCCCCTGCCCAGGGCTCTGCCTACACCCCAGAAAAGGGAGCCTCTCTATGCAGACTGTCCATCAGGTCCCTGCAGGGCCGGATCCTGGGCTCCCCAGTTAGAATGTCCAGGAGTCAGTCGGCGACTGTCTGCTCCTGCTCCACACAGGATGCCCAGTGGCTCCAGCACCGGAAACAGAGCACTGGGCCCGAGAGGTGCCCTGATGGGACGAATGTGTGAGGGCTGAGAGTCTATTCCGACACCCCAGGCCCCTGGGGGCCGCAGAGCCTGTCTGAGGGCCATATGGAAGCACTGGCTGCCCTCCAGCCTTGCTGGGCTTGAGTGTGGCCAGCCTGGACCACCTCTCCCTGGGCAGTCGCGTGTCCCACGGGGGCTCTGGGGTTAATCCATGTGTGACATAAGTTAATCTTGAACCTCTCCAGCCTGTCGCTTCTACTGGAAGAGAGGGTGTAACGCTCTTCACAGCATCACTCTGATGGTTGTGAATTACCCGAATATCAGAGCTCAGGAGCTGAAGACTCAGGGAAGCCAGTGGCCTGCAGGGACCCAGGGCTCACACTGGAGCCTGCGTGTATCATGCTTCACCTGCTTTGAGGCTGCATTTACCTTGGGCTTGCCCGGCAGGCGGGAATAGGCTGTGTGAACCGCGTGCAGCACCCCCTTCCGGGCCATCTCCAGCATCTCCTCCAGATAGATGTGGTCCTCATCTGGACGGCGGCACCCGAACACCAGGGTCATGCGCCCTCCCTGCACTCCTGCAAGAGTCCCGGGCTGTTGTTATCATGTCTGCCACCAGAGGGCGTCACGGCTCCAAGCCCAACTGGAATTACTTCACTCCTACAAGCATCTTATTTAATAGCACTATCCCCACTCTACAGATGAGGAAACTGAGGCCCAGGGCATTCAGACCACTCATCCATAGTCACATACCCTCAGCCCATCAAAAGCAGGGACTTTCCCATTACCCCTCTCTCCCGGGAGAGGGAGTCCCTGCTCCGATGCGGGAGACGGGAAGGCGGCCATTCTCACCCATAGAGGCCTCACAGTGAGGCAAGCTTGGGATGCCTTCCCTCGAGAGAGGGCCAGGAGCCGCTTGCGGGGCTGCGGTTCTGCTCCTAGGCAGGCGCTGCCCTTGGTGCCCTCCCACCTGGGAAGCCTCCAGCCTACCCTTGTGCTGGGAGTCGTGGAGCCGTTGCTGCCAGAAACTGCGGAACGGGGCGATGCCTGTGCCAGGCCCGACCAGGATGCAAGGATGGAAGGGGTCCTCGGGGAGCTGGAAGCCGCTGGCACTGAAGAGGACAGGAGAAGAGAGGGGCCAGTGCTCAGACACCCCGGCCCGCCCGCACACAGGATGTCTGGGGAGCGGGGCCTGCAGGGGGCAGTAGTGAGGGGTGTGGAGGAGAAGCTCCTCCAATTTTATTTCCCACGCCCTTCGAGCCGCTGCGCTTCTGTCCCGGTACAAGCAGCTCCCCCAGGTCCGTCTGAAAAAGGGCCAAGCTCACTGGACTCTGGGCCCCACCAGCACTGCTGTCATTACTATCCTTGCTAGAGACAGCAACACCACTATGACCCCAGTGTCTTCTTTATGGGCCAAGGGGCCCTGAGCGGCACCTAAACCCCAGATCCCTCCTTTTCCTCCCGGAACTCCCAGGGGTCGGCAGTCCCACAGGGGACAGAGTGGAAGGGGTGCTTACTTTCGCACGAAGCAGGGCACTGGGTCTTGGGGCTTCAGGCTGTTGAGCCATGTGCTGCAGACACCGTGGTGCAGGGGACCCTGGCCATCTGCAACGATAACACAAAGTGACCAATGTGCCTCACTGCCCATGAGGAACTGTACCAGCTGCTCCGCCCACACCACGGCCTCCCTGGACAGCCCCACTCAGGCACTCTCCTTATCCTCCTTGTTCTGAGATCCACCCTCCGTGAGCCCAGAGCTGAAGAAGGTTGAAAGGGACTTAGAGAGGCTGCAAGTTGCCCCTTCTGCCAATGCAGAAACTGAGTCCGGGAGAGGAGAAGTGACTTGGACAAGGTCACTCGGGTAGTGGTGGAATCAGGTGGGCAGCTCAGGTTCCCTGACTCCTACTCCAGCGCTCCTTCCAAAGAGTTTCTCCAGGAACACTCCCAGCTCACCACTTAGCTCCACTGACAGCAGCTGGAAGTGACCCGCGGGGTGGCTACTGCTGTGTGTCCTCATGAGTGTGACCCTTGCTGGGAGCAACCCTGGGTGGTGGATGAGCTCTGTGCATTTCTGTCTGCTCTGACCCCTCACTCTCCTCCTCAGTGGCCCCTCCTGAGCTTGTAGAAAGCCAGGAGATTTCTCTGGGTTGCGTTCCCTTTACAACGCCCAGCACTTGAAGGAGGCCTCCATCCAACAGCAATCCAAATTCGATCCTCGGGATTGAATCTTGCTCTCACAGGACAAGCCTGCCTCTCCTCTCCTGGTGTGGGTGGGTGTTCTCTAGCAGGGCAAATAGAATCTCTGTGCAGTTTTTAGAAACTGGGTTTGTGCTTCCTAGAGGACAGAGGGCTTAGAAGTGTGGGCAGCTCCCAGCTTTGCCAACCCAGGTGATGCTCAGTTACAGAGGGCAGGGCAGGGCAGGGGGCAGAGGGCAGGGCAGGGCAGGGCAGGGGGCAGAGGGCAGGGCAGGGCAGGGGGCGGACGCCAGTGCCGAGCCAAGGCCACCTGGATGAGATGTCGCCTCCCCCTCTATGGCAGTGTCACCCCTCCTTTGTGGCCCTCAGTGACCCTGACCTTTCCTTCTTGGCTTCTGCACAATGAGAATCATCTAATTATTTCTATGCCCATCTCTCCACTGCTGCCTCTAGATGCTCCCTGAGGGCAGGGCTGGTGTCTGCTGTATTTCCACACCCATCCAAGTGCCGAGCATGGGGGTGTGAAATAACCCATCACTGAATGAGCTCAGTGAGTGAAAGAACAGTCAATGCAGACTCTCCCCTGCATGATCAAGAAGACTAATAACTGCTGGCCTCCCACCAAGGGTTGGTGCTGTTCACATCTGATCTCATTAAATTGTCCCAAGGTTAGTGGGCCAGCAGAGTGGTAAAGGACTTGGACTCAGCAGTTAGACTATGTGGGCCCGAATCTCAGCTCTCTACTTGCTAACAGTGTGACTTTCTGTGCCACCTATAAAATGCACATAGTACCTACCCCACGTGGTAACTGATCCTAGACATACAGAAGGCTTGGTTTAGTGCCTGGTTCGTGGAGATCTCTCCCACACGCCTCCTATCACTCTTAACTCTGGGCGATGGGTGTTCCCTCCCTCCTCGACTTGATGAGGAAGCTGAAGATGAGTTGATGAACGATGCCCAATAAGGGGCGGGGTGGGGCTGTTCCAGAGCCTCTGCCCCGGGCTCACCTTGGGTGTGGTACGTGACCACGGCCACAGTCAGGTGGATCTCGGTGGGCGTGTGATCCCGGGAGGAGCTGATGGAGTAGAACCGGGGCTTCAGAATGGGGAGCTGGGAGAGCAGGAAGCCAGCAGACACCCGCAGGGATGGGAACTCCTCCAGCACCTCCAGGAACGTGGGGCTGTTGGTGAACTTCCACTTGCTGTACTCTGAGGGCTGAAAGCCAAGGGTGATGTGAGAGACTCAGGGTGCCTGCCCCACTTTGGGGGAAAGGCTGTCACAACCCAGTATTGATTCATTCATTCACTCGCTCAACAAGCAAGTCCATGTGCCAGGCACTGTCCAGGGTGCTGAGACTACTGAGCTTGAGAAGAAATAGTTCCTGTCCTGGAGGAACTCAGGCCAGTACATTTATCTAACTTGTGTGACCTCCACTGTCAGTAACTCATGGGCAGGGTCAAATCTTTGTTGTAATTTATTTAGGGCAAGGTTTGGAACCAATCAGACCTGGGTTCAAATCTTGGCTGGATGCCCTCACTAGCTGTGGAATCTCGTCCCAATCACTTAACCTTTGTGAAACAAGGATAGTATTGCCTTGCTTGTGGGATGTTACGGGAATTAAATGAGAATGCATGTACCAAGTTAGTACACTGTAGTCACAAAATAATGGTGGTGGAGGTAGTTGGAATCAAGGTAATTTGCTATAATGTTGATGATAATAATGACAACCAGTGCCTTTTGCAAAGATTTGGAACCAGACAGTTGCAGGTGAGTTAATGCATTATCTCATTAATGTATTCGTTCAACTATCCATCTGTCACTCTGTTCATTATGCTCATTTATCCCATTAATCCACACCATCAATCCCCCAATACATCTGAAGTGACAAGTTTACTCCAGTTTGGGGGAAAGCAAAGACAGATAAGGACAGCTCCCTTTCTAGCTAATGTCCAAGGAGTGCACTTTGGTTGCATCCTGTAGGCACTTGGAAAAATTCAGCTCACTCAACACAACTGCATCCTAGACATGGGACAGCAGATGATGCCTGATGATTCCCACCAGCCTTTGACAAGTCTCACTTTGGGAACCTCGTGTGGATCCCTCTTGGAAGTTAAAGAATTAAAGACCAACTCTGGGCTCCGGCTCCCCACATGCTGGAACCCCCCACCCCCGCACAGACCCCCAGTGCCCACCAGCCCTGATCTTCACCTGGCACAGGGCCTCCAGCCTCTGTCTCTCAGTTGTTTCTGTGGCCACCTGGGCCAGCTTTTGGAGCAGCAGCTGGGTTGGGGGGGTGGTGATGTCCAGGAAGTAGGTGAGGGCCTGGCTGAGTGAGCAGGGGGGCAGCCTCTTGTCTCTGACCCAGTAGCTGCCTGGATGGAGAAGGAAGGCGTCAGGATGGAAAAGAGGCCCCATTCGGGCTTCTCTGAAGGTAATGAGGCCCCCAGGGCAGACACCCTTTATTCTCCAGCTGCAGGGGAAAGGAGGCTCTAAAGTCCTGGCTCTGAGAGCAAAAGGCAGGAAGGAGGTGGTGCACGGAGAAAGGACTGCCTGGGAAAGCTGATCACCAGCCCCCCGAGGGGCACTAAGTTTGCATGGTCCTGATGAACTGACCATGTCCTTCTCTAGCCCAGACCTGAACTTTGGCAAGACATCCCCCAGTGATCTATAGACTCACAATGACTAAATCCACCAAAGACTAATGTACACCTCACAGGTGAGTTACTCACTCAGAGAAAAGCCCTGACTGCAGTCCCCTGGGTGCTGTACCAGGAGGTGCTGGGTGAGCAGAATATGAACCCCTGTGGGGCAGCATGCAGGGCAGTCACAGCACAGACCCTGGGGCCAACAGACACGGGTTCAAACCCTGGCTCCCCACTTCCCAGGTGACTGAAGCCTCTGGGCCTTGGGTTCCCTCCCTGTGAAACAGATCTGATTCCAAAACTGATCTCACTGGGTTGGCATGAGTGCCAAATGAAATTGTGCACACATAATAGTTGGTGCTGTGCCTGGTACACAGACGCTTTCTAAATATTAGGTTAAAGTATGAGCATGACATTATCTTCTCTGGACCAGAGACCTGATGAGCCACATCCATCACCCTATAGTCACAAGGACATCTGTCCCCTCAGCCCTGTGTTTCAGGGTCTCTCACCTTCTCTTAGATGGTGGGGGACACTGCTGGGCTCTGGCTCTCTGATCCCACTGTTTGGTTTGGTTTTGTTTTGGTTTTGAAATGGAGTCTCCGATGCCCAGGCTGAAGTACAGTGGCATGATCTCAGCTCACTGCAGCCTCTGCCTCCCAGCTTCAAGTGACTCTCGTGCCTCAGCCTCCTGAGCAGCTGGGATTACAGGTGTGTGCACCACAATGCCTGGCTAATTCTTTTTGTATTTTTTGTAGAGACGGAGTTTCCCCATGTTGGCCAGGCTTGTCTCGAACTCCTGACCTCAAGTGATCCACCCGCCGCAGCCTCCAAAGTGCTGAGATTACAGGCATGAGCCATCATGCCCAGTTGATCCCCCTTTCTGACTTTGGCCACTGTACTTAGGGGGATACACTGTCAGTGTCATTATAACTGGGGAAACTAAGGCCAGGGAGCCATGCCTATGGGCTGGGACTGTCCACAGCTGCTTTCACATAAGCTTTGGTGGCCCACCCTCTAGCAGGAAGGACAGGGATGGCTGTCACCAGCAGGTCCAGGCCCAGCCCCTCAGCCAGGCAGGGTGGCCGGAGGATGGCAGGCAGCACTAGCTTCCCGGGCCGGGGCTCACCACTCTCGTCCAGGGCCTCCAGGCACACTGTCTGGTGTGGCGCGGGGCCATCCACCACTCGCTCCAGGATGCCTTGAACCAGGGCTGGCTGGTTGCCTGGGCAAACCCCAAGGTGCTCTCCTGGCAGGTAGCTCAGGCTTTGGCCATCCTCACAGGAGAGTTCCACCAGGATGGTGGCGCGGCTGGGGAGGGACAAAGAAGGCTCAGGTGACGTTGCCGGATTTCCTCCGGGGCTCCCTGACGGGCGGGCCACTTTCCCCAGGAACTGTGCCCTTCTTTCATTTTCCCGCCCAGTTCCACAAGCCTGGGCCGCCACCCTGAGCTTGGGACATGGCATCCCCACAGGCAGGGGTGCTCAAGAGGGCCCTGGGAGCTTCCCTCTGGGGAATAGGGGGCCCACCCCTTCCCAGCAGCCCTCTGAGCTCCCTGAGTGACTGGCCACAGCCTCTGCCAGGAGAAAGCAACCCCCTTGGAGATACATGGACATCAGAAGAAACCTTTCCTTGTCGCCAAGACAAACCCTGTTCTTATTAGAACCAAGGCCAGTTTCCCTAATGATGGCACAGATCAATGAACCCTGCAGAGAATCCACAAGGCTCGTTTCCCAGAGCTGGGAAACTTCCTTCCCTGTCAAAACTTTTCCTGAAAGTTCTTAAGAATGAGTCCAATAGTTTAAGTCTCTCTTGCACCCTCCTTTTGGTGAAAGAGTTCAATGAGGAAGGAGAGGAAGTGAGCAGACGCTTAGCTTCCAAGCTGGAGAAGTGGCCTGTGGTTAACCGAGACTAGCCGTAAAAGCACAGGTGGCCGCACGTTACCAGGTGAGCCGGTCCTGCTGATGGCACGGCCGCTCCTGCTGGCAGATGCTCCTCTCCTCTCCCTTTAAAGACTGACTTCTTCTGATCTTTCATTCATTGAAATAAAATCGACAGAACATTGCCCGAGAAGCTCTGCAGTTTCCCTTACCTGGATTTTGGACTCTGTAGATTCTGCCGAGATTTCAGCCTCATGGTGAACACGTTCTTGGCGTGCATGCTGCTGAGGGCTGTGGAGGGCAGAGAGACGGTGAAATGGACAAGTGGCTCTTGAGTGTGGGTGGGGGAAACCTCCACAGGTCCAAGTCAGTAACGCCTGGACACTAGGGGCGTCCTGCTGAGGGAGCCGTTGGGATTTTCTTTCCTTTCCTTTCATTCCACTGTTTCTGAATCACAAATAAAGATCCTTGGGCCGGGCGCGGTGGCTCAAGCCTGTAATCCCAGCACTTTGGGAGGCC